CCCAAAATCCCCCTTGGGACCCCAAAACCCTCCCAGGAGACCCCAAAATCCCCCTCAGGAGACCCCAAACCCTCCCCAGGAGACCCCACCACCCCAAATCCAATCCCACCCATGGGAAGGACCCCCAAAACCCCAGGGACCCCAAAAATCTCCCAGGGACCCCCAATCCCCCCCAGGTGTGTGGGGCATCAGGTCTACCCATTCACTCCTATGGGGGGTAACCCAGAATTTTGCGGGGTTCCCAGAGATTTTGGGGGTCCCAGATGTTTTGGGGGTCCTAGGTGTTTGGGGGCACCCAGGGGTGCTGGGAGGTCTCAGATATCTGGGGAGGGGTCCCAAATCTCCTGGCCATCAGGTCTACCCATTGACTCCTATGGGGGGTAGGAGGGTGGGACCCAAATTTTTTTGGGGTGGGGGGTCCCAGAGATTTTTTGGGGGGTCCCAGATGTTTGGGGGTGTCTGGGGGCACCCAGGGGTGCTGAGGAGGTCTCAGATATCTGGGAGGGGTCCCAAATGTCCTGGCCATCAGGTCTACCCATTGACTCCTATGGGGGCTGTAGGGTGGGACCCAAATTTTTTTGGGGTGGGGGTCCCAGAGATTTTTGGGGGTCCCAGATGTTTGTGGGGGCACCCAGGGGTGCTGAGGGGGTCTCAGGTATTTGGAGGGGTCTCAGATATCTGGGGAGGGGTCCCAAATGTCCTGGCCATCAGGTCTACCCATTGACTCCTATGGGGGTGGAGGTGGGACCCAAATTTTTTGGGGTGGGGGTCCCAGAGATTTTTGGGGGTCCCAGATGTTTGGGGGTGTCTGGGGGCACCCAGGGGTGCTGAGGGGGTCTCAGATATTTGGGGAGGTCTCAGATATCTGGGGAGGGGTCCCAAATCTCCTGGCCATCAGGTCTACCCATTGACTCCTATGGGGGTTGGGGGTGGGACCCAAATTTTTTGGGGTGGGGTCCCAGAGATTTTTGGGGGTCCCAGATGTTTGGGTGTCTGGGGGGTCCCAGGTATTTGAGGGGCACCCAGGGGTGCTGGGGGTCTCAGATATGTGGGGAGGGGTCCCAAATCTCCTGGCCATCAGGTCTACCCATTGACTCCTATGGGGGTTGGGGGTGGGACCCAAATTTTTTGGGGTGGGGGTCCCAGAGATTTTTGGGGGTCCCAGATGTTTGGGGGTGTCTGGGGGCACCCAGGGGTGCTGGAGGTCTCAGATATCTGGGGAGGGTCCCAAATCTCCTGGCCATCAGGTCTACCCATTGACTCCTATGGGGGGTTGGGGGTGGGAGCCCAAATTTTTTTGGGGTGGGGGTCCCAGAGATTTTTGGGGGTCCCAGACATTTGTGGGGTGTCTGGGAGGCACCCAGGGGTGCTGGGGGGTCTCAGTTATTTGGGGGTCTCAGATATCTGGGAGGGGTCCCAAATCTCCTGGCCATCAGGTCTACCCATTGACTCCTATGGGGGTTGGGGGGGTGAGACCCAAATTTTTGGGGTGGGGGTCCCAGAGATTTTTGGGGGTCCCAGATGTTTGGGGGTCTGGGGGGTCCCAGGTATTGAGGAGCACCCAGGGGTGCTGGGTAGGGGGTCTCAGATATGTGGGGAGGGGTCCCAAATCTCCTGGCCATCAGGTCTACCCATTGACTCCTATGGGGGTAGGAAGTGTGACCCAAATTTTTTGGGATGGGGGTCCCAGAGATTTTCTGGGGGTCCCAGAGTGTTTGGGGGCACCCAGGGGTGCTGAGGGGGTCTCAGTTATTTGGGGGGTCTCAGATATCTGGGGAGGGGTCCCAAATCTCCTGGCCATCAGGTCTACCCATTGACTCCTATGGGGTTGGGGGTGGACCTAAATTTTTGGGGTCCCAGAGATTTTTGGGGGTCCCAGAGATTTTTGGGGGTCCCAGATGTTTGGGGGTGTCTGGGGGCACCCAGGGTGCTGGGAGGGTCTCAGATATCTGGGGAGGGGTCCCAAATCTCCTGGCCATCAGGTCTACCCATTGACTCCTATGGGGGTTGGGGGTGGGACCCAAATTTTTTGGGGTGGGGGTCCCAGAGATTTTTGGGGGTCCCAGAGATTTTTGGGGGTCCCAGATGTTTGGGGGCACCCAGGGGTGCTGTGGGGGTCTCAGATATCTGGGGAGGGGTCCCAAATCTCCTGGCCATCAGGTCTACCCATTGACTCCTATGGGGGTTGGGGTGGGACCCAAATTTTTTGGGTGGGGGGTCCCAGAGATTTTTGGGGGTCCCAGATGTTTGTGGGGGTCTCAGATGTTTGGGGAGCACCCAGGGGTGCTAGGGGGGGGTCTCAGATATCTGGGGAGGGGTCCCAAATCTCCTGGCCATCAGGTCTACCCATTCACTCCTATGGGGGTGGGGGTGGGACCCAAATTTTTTGGGGTGGGGGTCCCAGAGATTTTTTGGGGGTCCCAGATGTTTGTGGGTCCCAGGTGTTTGGGGGCACCCAGGGGTGCTGAGGGGGTCTCAGATATCTGGGGAGGGGTCCCAAATGTCCTGGCCATCAGGTCTACCCATTGACTCCTATGGGGGTTGGGGGCTGTGACCCAAATTTTTGGGGGGTCCCAGAGATTTTTGGGGGTCCCAGATGTTTGGGGGCACCCAGGGGTGCTGGGGGTCTCAGATATTTGGGGGTCTCAGATGTCTGGGGAGGGGTCCCAAATCTCCTGGCCATCAGGTCTACCCATTGACTCCTATGGGGTTGGGAGTGGGACCCAAATTTTTTGGGGTGGGGGTCTCAGGGATTTTTGGGGTCCCAGAGATTTTGGGGGTGTCTGGGGGCACCCAGGGGTGCTGAGGGGGTCTCAGGTATTTGGGGGGTCTTAGATGTCTGGGGAGGGGTCCCAAATCTCCTGGCCATCAGGTCTACCCATTGACTCCTATATGACCCAAATTTTTTGGGGAGTCCCAGAGATTTTTGGGGGGTCCCCGAGGTTTTGGGGGTCCCAGACGTTTAGGGGGCACCCAGGGGTGCTGGGAGGTCTCAGAGACCTGGGAAAGTCCCAGATATCTGGGGAGGGTCCCAAATCTCCTGGCCATCAGGTCTACCCATTGACTCCTATGGGGGTTGGGGGGTGGGACCCAAATTTTTCGGGGGTCCCAGAGATTTTTGGGGGTCCCAGGGTTTTGGGGGTGGGGGACACCCCCACAGGAGTGGAGTCCTCACCGGGTGGGCTTCAGCTGCACCTCATCCTCCTCCTCCTCGCGGGGGGTCCCTGGGGGAGGAGCTCGGTGCTGGGACTGCCAAAAGCTGAACATGTCGAAGGTGCATTTCCTAAAAAAGGGGGGGTTTGGGGGGGTTTAGGGGTCCCCAACCCATAGGAGACCCCCTGAACCCTTGGGTGACCCCCAGCCCTGGGTGAGCTCCCCAAGGTGACCCCCACCCCCATGGGTGCCCCCTGATGACACCCAAGGGGATTTTGGGAGGGGTTAGGGGGATTTTGGGGGGTTTTGGGGGATTTGGGGGGGATTTTGGGGGATTTTGGGGTCCCCCACCCTTGGGTGACCCCTCGAACCTCAGGGTGACCCCCAGCCGTGGGTGACCCCCAAGGTGTTACCCCTGTGGGTGCCCCCTGTGTCACCCAAGGGGATTTTGGGGAGGGTTTGAGGGGGGATTTTGGGGGTTTTGGGGGGATTTGGGGGATTTTGGGGGTCCCCACCCATGTGGAGACCCCCAAACCCTTGGGTGACCCCCAGCCGGGGTGACCCCCCAAGGTGACCCCACTCCCGTGGGTGCCCCCTGTGTCACCCAGAGGGGGATTTTGGGGAGTTTGGGGGGAATTTTGGGGTCCCCAACCCAGGGAGACCCCTGACGCCCCCAGTCCCTCCCAGTCCCTCCCAGTGCCTCCCCAGCCTCCCAATCCCCTCCCAGTGCCCTCCCAGTCCCTCCCAGTGCTCCCAACTCCTTCCCAGTCCTCCCCAATCCCCTCCCAGTCCCCTCCCAGTTTGTCCCAGTTCTTTCCAATCCCCTCCCAGTTCCTCCCAGTGCTCCCCAATCCCCTCCCAGTCCCCTCCCAGTGTCCCCCAGTCCCTCCCAGTCACTCCCAATCCCCTCAGTCCCTCCCAGTTCGTCCCAGTTCTTCCAATCCCTCCCAGTCCCTCCCAGTGCCCCCAGTCCCCTCCCAGTCCCTCCCAGTCCATCCCAGTGCCCCCAATCCCTCTCAGTGCCCCCAATCCCTCCCAGTTTGTCCCAGTCCTCAATCCCCTCCCAGTCCCTCCCAGTCTGTCCCAGTCCTCTCCAATCCCTCCCAGTCCCTCCCAGTTTGTCCCAGTCTCTCCAATCCTCCCAGTTCTCCCAGTGCCCTCCCAGTCCCTCCCAGTCCCTCCCAGTGCTCCCCAGTCCCCTCCCAGTGCCTCCAATGCCCTCCCAGTCCCTCCCAGTGCCCCCACCATCAGTCCTCCCAGTCCCTCCCAGTGCCCCCAATCCTCCCAGTGCCCCCCAATCCCCTCCCAGTCTCTCCCAGTACCTCCCAGTCCCTCCCAGTCCCCCAATGCCCTCCCAGTCCCTCCCAGTGCTCCCAATCCCTCCCAGTTTGTCCCAGTGCCCCCAATCCCCTCCCAGTTTGTCCCAGTGCCCCCAATCCCCTCCCAGTCCCCCCAGTCCCCTCCCAGTGTCCCCAATCCCTCCCAGTTTGTCACAGTGTCCCCACTCCTCCCAGTCCCTCCCAGTGCCCCCAGTGCTCCCAGTTGCCTCCCAGTGCCCCCAGTGCTCCCCAGTGCCTCCCAGTGCTCCCAGTGCTCCCAGTGCCCCCCAGTGCTCCCAGTACCTGGCGTAGAGCTCTGGCCCTGGCGCAGCCCGAGGGGTTCCTGGGGGGGGTCCCAGGGAGTCCTCTGGGGTGGTACCGGAACCGGTACCGGGAGCACGACCCGGCCCCGGGGAGCTGCTCCAGCAGGAACACCAGGGCGTCGTGGTGCATCCCCAGGAGTCTCAGACCACTCATTCCTGGGGAAAAAACGGGGAAAAATGGGGTTAAAAATGGGAAAAAAATGGTTAAAATTGGGAAAAATAGGGAAAAAACGGGGAAAAAATGGCATTAAATTGGGATAAAATAGGTTAAAATGGGGGGAAATGGGGTCTGGGGGGCTGTCGTGGTGCATCCCCAGGAGTCTGAGACCGCTCATTCCTGGGGAAAATGGGGGAAAATTGGTTAAAATTGGGGAAAAAATGGGAAAAAATGGCATTAAATTGGGTTATAATGGGTTATAGTGGGGTATAATGGGGTATAATGGGGTATAATGGGGTCTGGGGGGGTTGGGAGGGGCGTCGTGGTGCATCCCCAGGAGCCTCAGACCGCTCATTCCTGGGGAAAAAATGGGGTTAAAAATGGTAAAATTGGGAAAAAATGGGTTATAATGGGTTATAATGGGTTATAATGGGAGAAAATGGGGGAAAAGTGGACTAAAATGGGGAAGAACTGGTATTAATTTGGGAAAAAATGGATTAAAATGGGGAAAAAAGAAGTTATAATGGGGAAAAAATGGGGGGAAAATGGGTTAAAATGGAGCAAAATTGGTTAAAATGAGGTTAAATTGGGTTATAATGGGTTATAGTGGGGTATAATGGGGTATAATGGGTTAGGTTATAGTGGGGTCTGGGGGCTGTCGTGGTGCATCCCCAGGAGTCTGAGACCACTCATTCCTGCCCAAAAATGGGGGAAAAAATTGGGTTATAATGGGGAAAAAATGGGGGAAAAATGGGGAAAAAAATTGGGTTATAATTGGGAAAAATAGGGAAAAAAATGGGGAAAAAAAGGAGAAATAAATTGGGTTATAATTGGGAAAAAATGGGGGAAAAAATGGGGAAAATATTGGAAAAAAATGGGGGAAAAAATGGGGTTAAAATTGGGAAAAAATGGGGGAAAAATGGGGAAAAAAATTGGGTTATAATTGGGAAAAAATGGCGTTAAAATGGGGAAAAAAAATGGGTTATAATTGGGAAAAAATGGGAGAAAAATGGGGAAAATATTGGGTTATAATTGGGAAATATAGGAAAAAAAATTGGGAAAAAAATTGAGTTATAATTGGGAAAAAATGGGGAAAAAAATGGGTTATAATTGGGAAAAAATGGCGTTAAAATGGGGAAAAAATTGAATAAAATGGGGAAAAAATGGCATTAAATTGGGAAAAAATGGGTTAAAATGGGGAAAAAATGGGGGAAAAATGGGTTAAAATGGAGAAAAATTGGTTAAAATTGGGAAAAAATGGGATATAATGGGGTGTAATGGGTTATAGTGGGGATATAATGGGTTATAGTGGGGTCTGGGGGGGGTTGGGAGGGGCGTCGTGGTGCATCCCCAGCAGTCTGAGACCACTCATTCCTGCCAAAAATGGGGGAAAAAACAAGGAAATTGGTTAAAATTTGGGAGAAAATGGGGTTAAAATGGCATTAAATTGGAAAAAAATGGCATTAAATTGGGATAAAATGGGTTATAATGGGAGAAAACGGGGTCTGGGGGCTGTCGTGGTGCATCCCCAGCAGCCTCAGACCACTCATTCCTACCCAAAAATGGGGGAAATAACCAGGAAATTGGTTAAAATTTGTGAGAAAATGTGAAAAAATGTGAAAAAATGGCATTAAATTGGGAAAAAATGGGTTAAAATGGGGAAAAAATGGGTTATAATGGGTTATAATGGGGGAAAAGTGGAGTAAAATGGGGAAGAAACGGCATTAATTTGGGAAAAAATGGGTTATAATGGGGAAAAAATGGATTAAAATGGGGAAAAAATGGGTTACAATGGGGAAAAAATGGGGGAAAAAAATGGGTTAAAATGAGGTTAAATTTGATATAATGGGGTATAATGGGTTATAATGGGTTATAGTGGGGTCTGGGGGCTGTCGTGGTGCATCCCCAGCAGTCTGAGACCGCTCATTCCTGCCCAAAAATGGAAAAAAAATGGGGAAATTGGTTATAATTGGGAAAAAATGGGGAAAAAATTGGGTTATAATGGGGAAAAAATGGGGGAAAAAATGGGGAAAATATTGGAAAAAAATGGGGAAAAAAATGGGTTAAAATAGGGAAAAAATGGGGGAAAAAATGGGATATAATTGGGAAAAAATGGGAGAAAAATGGGGGAAAAAATTGGGTTATAATTGGGAAAAAATGGCGTTAAAATGGGGTTAAATTTGTTATAATGGGGTTAAATTGGGTTATAATGGGGTATAATGGGTTATAATGGGGGGAAATGGGGTCTGGGGGGGGGTTGGGAGGGGCATCGTGGTGCATCCCCAGCAGCCTCAGACCACTCATTCCTGGGGAAAAAATGGGGGAAAAATGGGGTTAAATTTGGGGAAATTGGGAAAAAATGGGTTATAATGGGGTATAATGGGGAAAAAATGGGTTATAATGGGGTATAATGGGGAAAAAATGGGTTAAAATGGGGGAAAAGTGGAGTAAAATGGGGAAAAAATGGCATTAAATTGGGAAAAAATTGAATAAAATGGGGAAAAAAGAGGTTATAATGGAGAAAAAATGGGTGAAAATGAAGAAAAATGGGTTAAAATGAGGTTAAATTGGTTATAATGGGTTATAATGGGGTATAATGGGTTATAATGGGGTTATAGTGGGAAAAAATGGAGTAAAATGGGGGAAAAGTGGAGTAAAATGGGGAAAAAATGGGTTATAATGGGGAAAAAATGGGTTAAAATGGGGAAAAAATGGGAAAAAAGGGAAAAAATGGGTTATAATGGGGGAAAATGGGGAAAAATTGAGGTAAATTGGGTTAAAATGGGGTTAACTGGGTTAAAATGGGGTTAAACTGGGTTAAAATGGGTCTGGGGGAAAGGGGGGCTGTGGGGCTGCATCCCCAGGAATCTCAGCCCACTCATACCTGGGGGAAATGGGGGGAAAAAGGGGAAAAAATGGTTAAATTTGGGAAAAAATGGGTTATAATGGGGTAAAATGAGGAAAAAAATGGGTTTAATTGCATTATAATGGGAAAAAATGGGTTAAAATGGGGAAAAACCAAGGGAAAAGGGGGTAAAGTGGGGAAAAATTGAATAAAATGGGGAAAAAATGGGTTATAATAGGGGGAAAAATTGAGGTAAATTGGGTTAAAATGGGGTTAACTGGGTTAAACTGGGTTAAAATGGGGTTAAACTGGTTTAAAATGGGTCTGGGGGGGGCCCGTGGTGCTGCATCCCCAGGAATCTCAGACCGTTCATACCTGGGGGAAAATTGGGGAAAAAATGGTTAAATTGGGGAAAAAATGGGTTATAATGGGGTAAAATGGGGAAAAAAATGGGTTTAATTGCATTATAATGGGAAAAAAAGGGTTAAACTGGGGAAAAAACCAGGAAAAAGGGGGTTCCAGGTGGGTCTTGGGTGATCCCAGATGGATTTTGGGGGTCCCAGGTGAGGTTTTTGGGGTTCCTGGGTGGGTTTTGGGGGTTCCAGGTGAGTTTTTGGGGGTTCCAGATGAGTCTTGGGTGATCCCAGATGGATTTTGGGGGTCCCAGGTGAGGTTTTTGGGGTTCCTGGGTGGGTTTGGGGGTCCCAGGTGAATTTTTGGGGGTCCCAGAGGAGTTTTTGGGGTTCCCAGGTGGGTTTGGGGGTCCCAGATAAATTCTGGGGGTCCCAGAGGTTTTTGGGGTTCCTGGGTGAGTTTTGGGGGTCCCAGGTGAGGTTTTTGGGGTCCCAGATGGATTTTGGGGTTCCCAGGTGGGTTTTGGGGGTCCCAGATGGATTTTGGGGGTCCCAGGTGAGGTTTTCGGGGTTCCTGGGTGGGTTTTGGGGGTGCCCAGGGAGTTTTTGGGGGTCCCAGGTGAGGTTTTTGGGGTTCCCAGGTGGGTTTGGGGGTCCCAGATCCCAGGTGAATTCTAGGGGTCCCAGAGGAGTTTTTGGGGTTCCTGGGTGAGTTTTTGGGGGTCCCAGGTGAGGTTTTTGGGGTTTCAGGTGGGTCTTGAGTGATCCCAGATGGATTTTGGGGGTCCCAGGGGGTGTTTTTGGGGTTCCCAGGTGGGTTTTGGGGGGTCCCAGGAGGTGTTTTTGGGGTTTCAGGTGGGTCTTGGGTGATCCCAGATGGATTTTGGGGGTCCCAGGTGAGGTTTTTGGGGTCCCAGATGGATTTTGGGGTTCCCAGGTGGGTTTTGGGGGTCCCAGATGGATTTTGGGGGTCCCAGGTGAGGTTTTCGGGGTTCCTGGGTGGGTTTTGGGTGATCCCAGGGGGTGTTTTTTGGGGTTCCAGGATGATTTTGGGGGTCTCAGGTGGATTTTGGGGGTCCCAGGTGGATTTTGGGGTGTCCCAGATGGATTTTGGGGGTCCCAGAGGAGTTTTTGGGGTTCCTGGGTGAGTTTTTGGGGGTTCCCAAGCGGGGTTGTTTTGGTTTTTTTTGGGGGGGTCTCACCTGCGAAGTTGAGGTGTCTGAGGTGGGCGCTGGCCCTCGCCTCCTGTACCCGCTCCAGGACCGCCCTCCAGGCCCCTGGGGGGGTCCCCAAAATTTTAGAGACCCCCCCCAAATCCATCTGACCCCCTAAAATACCCCTAGACCCCCAAAATCCCAACTAGGACCCCCAAAGTCCCCCAAAATCCCCCCCTCCTGCCCCCACTCCAGGACGGACTCTCCAGGCCCCTGGGGGTCCCCAAAATTTTGAAGACCCCCAAAATTTTAGGAGACCCCCAAAATTTAGAGACCCCAAAATCACATGACCCCCAGAGCCCCAAAATCCCCCAAATCCCCCAAATCCCCCTCCTGCCCCTGCTCCAGGATGGCTCTCCAGGCTCCTGGGTCCCCAAATTTTAGAGACCCCCAAATTTTAGAGACCCCCTAAAATTCTAGAGACCCCCAAAATTTAGAGCCCCCAAACCCAACTGACCCCCAGACCCCAAAATCCCCCAGAGACCCCAAATCCCCCAAATCCCCCCTCCTGCCCCACTCCAGGACGGCTCTCCAGGCTCCTGGGGGTCCCCAAAATTCAGAGACCCCCAAATTTTAGAGACCCCCAAATCCATCTGATCCCCCAGATCCACAGGGCCCCTAAAATACCCCCAGACCCCAAAATCCCCCAGAGCCCCAAATCCCCCAAATCCCCCTCCTGCCCCCGCTCCAGGACGGCTCTCCAGGCCCCTGGGGTCCCCAAATATCAGAGACCCCCAAATTTTAGAGACCCCCAAATAAATCCCCAGTTCACCAAGATCCTCCCCAGTACCCCAAAATTTGCCAGATCCCAGTGTCCCCAATCCCCTCCCAGTTTCCTTCCAGATATATCCCCAGTCCCTTTCCAATCCTTCCCAGTTCACCCCAAGTAGCCCCCAATGCCCTCCCAGTGCCTCCCAGTCCCCTCCCAGTGCCTCCCAGTGCCATCCCAGTGCCTCCCAATTCATCCCAGTGTCCCCAATCCCCTCCCAGTTTTCTTCCAGTATATCCCAGTCCCTTTCCATCCTTCCCAGTTCAGCCCCAGTGCTCCCAATGCCTCTCCCAGTCCTCCCAGTTTGTCCCAGTCCCTCCCAGTGCCCCCAGTCCTCCCAGTCCCTCCCAGTGCCTCCCAATCCCCTCCCAGTCCCTCCCAGTGCCCCCAATCCCTCCCAGTCCCTCCCAGTGCCCCCAATTCCCTCCCAGTCCCTCCCAGTGCCCCCAGTCCCTCCCAGTTTGTCCCAGTGCTCCCAGTACCCTCCAGACTGGGGGCCGTGACCCTCAGCCCTCCCAGTCCTCCCAGTGCCCCAATCCTCCCAGTCCCTCCCAGTGCTCCCAGTACCCTCCAGACTGGGGGCCGTGACCCTCAGCCCATCCCAGTTCCCCTCCCAGTTTGTCCCAGTTCATCCCAGTGCTCCCAGTACCCTCCAGACTGGGGGCCGTGACCCTCAGCCCGTCCCAGTTCCCCTCTCAGTCCCTCCCAGTTTGTCCCAGTGCCCCCAGTACCCTCCAGACTGGGGCCGTGACCTCAGCCTGTCCCAGTTCCCTCCCAGTCCCTCCCAATCCCTCCCAGTCCCTCCCAGTGTCCCCCAATCCCCTCCCAGTGCCCCCAATCCCCTCCCAGTCCCTCCCAGTGCCCCCAGTCCCTCCAGACTGCCCCCAATCCCCTCCCAGTCCATCCCAGTGTCCCCCAATCCCTCCCCAGTTTGTCCCAGTGCCCCCAGTACCCTCCAGACTGGGGGCCGTGACCCTCAGCCCATCCCAGTCCCTCCAGTGCCCCCAATCCCCTCCCAGTCCCCCAATCCTCCCAGTCCTCAGTGCTCCCAGTACCCTCCAGACTGGGGCCGTGACTCTCAGCCCGTCCTCGCTGCTGATCTCGAGCGCAGGTGGGGAGGGGCGGGAGGGTCCCCAGGGGGTGGGGGAGGGCAGAGGGGAGGGAGGCTCGTCCTCATCCTCCGAGCTGGCACCTGGGGGAGAGAGGGACAGGTGAGACCCCCAAAATGACCCCTCCCCACCCCAAAATGACCCCTCCCCACCCCAAAAATGACCCCTCCCACCCCAAAATGACCCCTCCCCCACCCCAAAATGTCCCAAAATGACCCCTCCCCACCCCAAAAATGACCCCTCCCCACCCAAAAGTGAGACCCCCCACCCCAAAATTGAGACCCCAAAAATGACCCCTCCCCACCCCCAAAATGACCCCTCCCCACCCCAAAATGACCCCTCCCCACCCCAAAAATGACCCCTCCCCACCCCAAAATGACCCCTCCCCACCCCAAAAATGACCCCTCCCCACCCCAAAATTGGGACCCCCACCCCAAAATGACCCCTCCCCACCCCCAAAATGACCCTCCCCACCCCCAAAATGACCCCTCCCCACCCCAAAGTGAGACCCCCACCCCAAAAATGACCCTCCCCACCCCAAAAATGACCCCTCCCCACCCCAAAAATGACCCCTCCCCACCCCAAAAATGACCCTCCCACCCCCAAAATGACCCTCCCCACCCAAAAATGACCCCTCCCCCACCTCCAAAAATGACCCCTCCCCACCCCCAAAATTGAGACCTCCCCACCCCAAAATGACCCCTCCCCACCCCCAAAATGACCCCTCCCCACCCCAAAAATGACCCATCCCCACCCCAAAATGACCCCCCACCCCAAAAATGACCCCAAAACTGCCCCCCCACCCCAAAAATGACCCCTCCCCACCCCAAAATGACCCCTCCCCACCCCAAAATGACCCCTCCCCCACCCAAAATGAACCCCCACCCCAAAGTGACACCCCAAAATGACCCCTCCCCACCCCAAAATGACCCCCCACCCCAAAAATGACCCTCCCCACCCCAAAATGACCCCCCCACCCCAAAAATGACCCCTCCCCACCCCAAAATGACCCCTCCCCACCCCAAAATGACCCTCCCCACCCCAAAAATGACCCCTACCCCCACCCCAAAATGACCCCCCCACCCCAAAATGACCCCCCCACCCCAAAATTGATCCCTCCCCACACCCCAAAATTGAGACCCCCAACCCCAAATGAGACCCCTGCCCCACCCAAAATGAGACCCCAACCCAAAATGAGACCCCCCACCCCAAATAGACCCCCACCCCAAAATTGAGACCCCCACCCCAAAATTGAGGCCCCCACCCCAAAACTGACCCCCAAAAGTGCTCCTGGCCCCCCCCATCCCCAATGACCCCCACCCCAAAATGAGACCCCACCCCAAAATGACCCCAAAATGAACCCCCACCCAAAATTGAGACCCCCACCCCAAAAAATGACCCCCCACCCCAAAAATGCCCCCAGGTGAGACCCCCCAAAGCTGCCCCTCCCCCTCACCTGCTCGGGTGGCCCAGGGGAGGTCGGAGCGCACGTCGCTGGGGGGGACCTGCAGAGGAGGGGATGGGAGGGGTCCCAGGTGAGTTTTGGGGGGATTTTTGGGGATTTTGAGGAGTGATTTGGGGGTGATTTTGAGGATTTGGGCATTTGGGGAGATTTTGGGGTATTTTAGAGTGATTTTGGGGATTTTGGAGCATTTTGGGGGTGATTTTGGGAGTATTTTGGGGTATTTTGGGAGTATTTGGGTTGATTTTGGGGTGGTTTAAGGATTTTGGGGTATTTGGTGTGTGTTGGGGATGATTTGAGAGTGGTTTGAGAGTATTTTGGGGTTCCCAAGGTGATTTTGGGGTATTTTGGGGTGATTTGGGGTTCCCAGATGTGTTTTTGGGTTATTTTGGGGTGTTTTGGAAGTGATTTTGGGGGGATTTTGGGGGATTTTGGGAGTGATTTTGGGGTATTTTGGGGGTTATTTTGGGGTTCCCAGAGTTGATTTGGGGGTATTTTGGGGTTCCCAGATGTGATTTTGGGGTATTTGGGGGTGTTTTTGGGGTATTTTGGGGTTCCCAGGGTTGATTTTGGGGTATTTTGGGATATTTGGGGGTGATTTGGGGGTATTTTGGGATATTTGGGGTGATTTTGGGAGTGTTTTGAGAGTATTTTGGGGTCCCCAGGGTTGATTTTGGGGTCCCCAGGATTGATTTTGGGGTGTTTTTGGGGTATTCTGGGGTGATTTTTGGGTATTTTTGGGTCCCCAGGGTTGATTTTGGGGTATTTGGGGGTGTTTTTGGGGTATTTTTGGGTCCCCAGGGTTGATTTTGGGGTATTTGGGGGTGTTTTTGGGGTATTTTGGGGTCCCCAAGGTTGATTTTGGGGTATTTTGGGGTGTTTTTGGGGGTCTCACCCGCAGCTGTCGCTGAGCTCCTCCGGCTCCTCCTTCACCTCCCGGGGGGGCTCCGACCTTGGGGGGGGAGGGGACGTCACGGGGGAGGGGACACCACTGGGACCCTCCCAGTATGGGGGCACCCAAACTGGGACAGTCCCAGTATGGGGGGACACAAATTGGGACCCTCCCAGTATGGGGGGACACAAACTGGGACAGTCCCAGTATGGGGGAGGGGACACCATGGGGGGGGAGGGGACACCACGGGGACCCTCCCAGTAAGGGGAGACACAAACTGGGACCCTCCCAGTATGGGGGGACCCTCCAGTATGGGGGGAGAGAAACTGGGACAGTCCCAGTATGGGGGGCCACAAACTGGGACAATCCCAGTAAGGGGGGGACCCAAACTGGGACAGGAGGACCCCAAACTGGGACAGGAGGACCCCAAACTGGGACAGGGTGACCCCAAACTGGGACAGGGACCCCAAACTGGGACAGGGGGACCCCAACTGGGACAGGGGACCCAAACTGGGACAGGGGACACCAAACTGGGACAGGGGACCCAAACTGGGACAGGGGGACCCAAACTGGGACAGGGGGACCCCAACTGGGACAGGGGACACTGAACTGGGACAGGGGGACCCCAAACTGGGACAGGGGGACCCCAAACTGGGACAGGGGGACCCCAACCCGTGCCCTCCACCCCCCTTTTTGTCCTCACCTGGCTCTGTCCCCTCCTCCGTCCTCGAGGCGCGGCCGCTTCGCCCCCCCCGGCCCCTCCCCCGGCCCCTCCCCTCCCCACGCCGCTTGGGGGCGTGGCCGTGGGGGGGGGACACGCCCGGAGGGGGGGCGTGGCCCTGGGTGACATCATTGGTGACCCCGAGGTGGTGGCTCTGGGTGACATCGAGGTGGTGGCTCTGGGTGACGTCATTGGTGACACTGAGCTGGTGGCTGGAGGTGACATCGAGGTGGTGGCCTTGGGTGACGTCGTTGGTGACACCGGGGTGGTGGCCCTGGGTGACACCCAGGTGGTGGCCTTGGATGACGTCATTGGTGACCCCAAGGTGGTGGCTGGAGGTGACCCCAAGCTGGTGGCCTTGGATGACATCACTGGTGACCCTGACGTGGTGGCTCTGGGTGGTATCGAGGGGGTGGCCTTGGGTGACGTCATTGGTGACCCCGAGGTGGTGGCTCTGGGTGACACCGAGCTGGTGGCCTTGGGTGACGTCATTGGTGACCCCGAGGTGGTGGCTCTGGGTGACATCACTGATGACATCGAGCTGGTGGCCCTGGGTGACACCGAGGTGGTGGCTGGAGGTGACATCGAGGTGGTGGCCCTGGGTGACGTCATTGGTGACCCCGAGCTGGTGGCTGGAGGTGACCCCGAGCTGGTGGCCTTGGGTAATGTTCCCGTGGGTGACATCGAGGTGGTGGCCTTGGATGATGTCATGGGTGACCCCAAGGTGGTGGCCCTGGGTGACCCTCAAGTGGTGGCCCTGGGTGATGTCATTGGTGACACCGAGCTGGTGGTCCTGGGTGATGTCATTGGTGACCCCCAGGTGGTGGCCTTGGGTGACATCGTTGGTGACACTGAGCTGGTGGCTCTGCCTGACACTGAGGTGGTGGCCAGAGGTGACATCAAACTGGTGGCCCTGGGTGACATCACTGATGACACTGAGTTGGTGGCCTTGGCTGATGTTCCCATGGGTGACACTGAGGTGGTGGCTCTGGGTGACATCATTGGTGACCCCGAGGTGGTGGCTGGAGGTGACACTGAGTTGGTGGCCCTGGGTGACACCGAGCTGGTGGCCTTGGATGATGTCATTGATGACATTGAGCTGGTGGCCCTGGGTGATGTCACTGGTGACCCCGAGGTGGTGGCCCTGGGTGACACTGAGCTGGTGGCTCTGGGTGACGTCATTGGTGACATTGAGCTGGTGGCCCTGGGTGACGTCATTGGTGACCCCGAGGTGGTGCCCCTGGGTGACACCAGGGTGGTGGCCTTGGTTGATGTTCCCATGGGTGACCCCGGGCTGGTGGCTCTGGGTGACACCACCGGTAACCCCCAGGCGGTGTCTCTGGGTGACCCCGACCCGGCGTCCCCACCGGGCGTCCCCTCCGTGCCGGGGGTGTCCCCAGACCCCATTTTTGACGTCCCCCTCCTCAATGTCCCCCCCCTTGGTGTCCCCCTCCTCAATGTCCCCATTTTTGATGTCCCCCTCGATGTCCCCATCCTCAATGTCCCCCTCCTCAATGTCCCCCTCTTTGATGTCCCCCTCCTCAATGTCCCCATCCTTGATGTCCCCATCCTGGGTGTCCCCCCCCTGGGTGTCCCCTCGCAGCACGAACTCCACGAGGTCCGGGGGGAGCCCCTCGGTGCCGCTGCCACCCCCGGGGGGGGTTTTGGGTGTCCCCTCCGTGGGGGGAGGGGGAGGGAGGAGGGCGTCCCCTCGGTGCGGTGCCACCCCCGGGGTTTGGGTGTCCCCTCCATGGGGGGAGGGGAGAGCGTCCCCTCGGTGCCGGTGCCACCCCGGGGTTTTGGGTGTCCCCTCCGTGGGGAGGAGGGCGAGGGGGAGGGGCGTCCTCGGTGCCCCCCTCCCCCCTGACGTCATCGACCCCCCGTCCAGCTGCCGGATGGGGGCGGGGCCGAGGGCGTGGCCAGGGCCGCGTCACCACCCGCCGGGCGTAGCCGGAGTAGAGGCCACGCCCCCTCGCTGGCCCCGCCCCTTCTTGGTGATGTCATCGTTGTCGTCGTCGTCGTCATCGTCGGTGTCCCCATGGGTGGGGGAGGGCGGTGGGGGAGGGGTGACCTGGAGTGGGGGGGGACAGTGAGGTCAGAGGTCATGGTAGCCTTGGGGGTGACATCGACCCGGGGGGTGACAATGAATGGCCTTGGGGGTGACATCGACCCATGGGGTGACAATGAATGACCTTGGGGGTGACATCGACCCATGGGGTGACATCAACATGGCCTTGGGGTGACATCGACCATGGGGTGACAATGAATGGCCTTGGGGGTGACATCGACCCATAGGGTGACATCGACCCATGGGGTGACATCGACCATTGGGTGACAATGAATGGCCTTGGGGGTGACATCGACACAGGGGGTGACAATGAATGGCCTTGGGGGTGACAATGAATGGCCTTGGGGGTGACATCGACCCATGGGGTGACACCAACAATGGCCTTGGGGGTGACATCGACCCATGGGGTGACATCAACAATGGCCTTGGGGGTGACATCGACCCATGGGGTGACATCAACCCATGGGGTGACAATGAATGGCCTTGGGGGTGACATTGACCCATGGGGTGACATCAACCCATGGGGTGACAATGAATGGCCTTGGGGGTGACATCGACACATGGGGTGACAATGAATGGCCTTGGGGGTGACAATGAATGGCCTTGGGGGTGACATCGACCCATGGGGTGACAATGAATGGCCCTGGGGTGACATCGACCCATGGGGTGACAATGAATGGCCTTAGGGGTGACATCAACACATGGGGTGACACCAACAACAACCCTGGGGGTGACATCGACCATGGGGTGACAATGAATGGCCTTGGGGGTGACATCGACACATGGGGTGACATCGACCCATGGGGTGACATTGAATGGCCTTGGGGGTGACAATGAATGGCCTTGGGGGTGACATCGACCCATGGGGTGACATCGACCC